TCCCCAAGTTCTTCTGTCCCTGCCTTCCAGAAGTATCCTCATCATCGGCTTAAACCAGAGGCTTTAAAAGCTGCCACATTTCTGGGCTTGTCATGATGGCACACACTTGTAATCTCAGCTAGGCAGATGGCATCGGTAGCAGGGAATCCACGACCCAGGCCAACCTGGGTGAGGGGGTCTCAAGACTGTATCTAAAATAGAACAAAGGCAAAGGGTTTAGGATTAGGGCCCAAGAGGTGGGGTGTCTGCCTAGCAAAGACAAAGCTCCGAGTTCAAACTCCGGTAGCACCAAAAGAAGCAAGAACAAAACCAAAGCCTTCCACCCAGTTCTAAAACTTTGCAAACTCCGTTATAACTCAGGATCGCATGAACTTAGAACTTTGGTTGAATACACACCCTAGGTCTCCTTCATGCCCTAGGGACTTGATCTTGGAAATGTCAAAGCTGGGACTCTGTGGTAGAATGCAGGAGCTGGAGACGCCTGTCCCTCATACCCATCTCCGGGGAATGGTGTTGTGTAAAATGCACACTGGCCCCAGAAGGACTCCTTTCCTCCAAAGCACAAACAAACACAGCCACACGGCCACATAGACACACACACACACACACACACACACACACACACACACACACACACACGGCAGGGTGTGTTACTGCCAGGCACAGTTATAAGAGTAATAAGGGAAAAGGCATGAACAGCCCAGCTGTGGCTTATACCTTCTGACTGGCTTCCTCCAGCGGGTGGTCAATGTAAGATAAGAAATCCCATCCTGTTGGTATTAACGAAAAACCCCAACACCAGCTTGGAAACATATCAGGGCACGTGTCTAGCTACCCGTGACTCAGTTTACCCATGCTTCTGACTGCTCTTTCTGGCTTTCTCGCCCTCAGCAATTTGAGAACTTGTCTTTCTGATCTCTATTATTTCAAATTCCAGAAATTGTTACTTGATTTCATCCCGCCTCCTCCCTCCACCTCCCTTACCCCAGACAACTCAGATCTCATAATAGACAACAGCTCTTTTATCTTTTGGGCTGTCTGTATAGTTTGCTCTATTATCAGGAGACCTGTAGAGCAGGGATATGTCTTTTCTTCTAGTCATGGGAGGAGATTTCTCCGAGGCTTCCTGTGGTCCCATGTGCAATCGTCTCTGAAAAAGTTGAGAGTAACAGATGGCCATGTCAGAGTACCTCTTGGGAACGTTGGACCGATAGGTCATAGCCTATGACCAGTGAAATTTTTAAGGTGAAGAAACAGTCTTCTTGTCTCAAGACAAGGGAGGATGCTCTCTTCTGTCTACTGGATTAACATACTGTGTTTCACTGGTCACAGAGAATAAAGAACAAGAAGCCGGATTCCCTTCCAGAACTAGTAGGGTTCATGCCCTGAGAGGAGGTTCAGTGAATTGGCACACAAGATGTGCTACGTACAGTACTGGGACATGGTAGCTTGTCAGTGAGTTTAACCATCATCACTTGAAGGGGTGCCTTTGTAAAGGCAGATGTCAGCTGGAGCAGTCCTTGCACCGTTTCCCAAACCCTGACTCATGCGGCTAAACGAAATCATGTGGCAGTGCTATAGTTTTCCAAGGAAAAGACAGGATGAGAGAAGCCAGATGGAGGGAAGAGGGCCCAGATTTTCCCCCCATTCCCCCCCCCATTCCGCCAAGTTCAGATCAGAGCAGCAGAGTGCACTGGGTTTCAGAGGAATATGACTGATGTGGTTTGGGAGTTAGCCTCTGAGTAATGCCAGAGTCTTAACTGGACGAGTATCAACAATTGTAGGCAGTTGGACGTAGTATATATATCCTATAGTTGTTCTCCCCAGAATTCAGCTGGATGCCACCTGCCTGGCTTGGGTGCGCAGGAAAATGTTAATCCAACGCTTTCAGACTTTCTGGTCTGGAGGGTGATCTTCCCAGGTCTGATTGCCTAAGATAGAGCAGATGGCTCCATGGGTTCTTTCTGTGTGTCTCTTTCTGGACAGCTTTCCTGTGGCTCACTTAGAAGCAGATTGAAGTGACATTCTTAGTTACTGAGTTTGAGAATGCCTGTGGTTAGAACGAACTCGGGAAGACTGGAAATAAGGCTTCTCCTAGCCTGTTGCCTGGCTTCCTGCTTGTTCCCAAAGACCATGGACAGCAAGATCAGATGTGTGCCAAACCAGAAATCTGACCATCTAGTTTTGTTCCATGTCTCTGTCTCAGATTTCTTCTGAGACACACATTAGGGCAAAAATTGAGAGGCTCTGTGCATTCCATGTATTCTATCCTGTCCTTTCCCGGATAAGGATTAAAAAAAAAAAACCAAATCCCTGAGGTCTAAGGACAGAGACGCTTAAAGCCAGGCATGCCTATTAGAAGCCTACATGTCCTAGAATTGGGGTCCCTCCATCAGCCTGTACCTTCCACTGTCACATTTCTCTCATGCTTGTGCCTCTTTTTCTTTGTTTAAAGGGGTTTACAACGAGCCTTTCCCAAAGTGGCTTTGAAGAAACATTCTACAAGCTCGTTTTCACACAGAGGTCAGCATTGCAGCTAGCATGTAGAAGATGCTCAGTTAATAACAATTGCTAACAGCTAAATGTCTTCTTCATGCAGGGACTTTAGGATTTGGGCACATTAGCTAATTTAGTCCTCTTAAGCAAGCTCTTGTGCATGCACTGTTTTTACAGGTCTCCTTTCAGTCATGTAAGTCTGATGTTTTGCAAAACAAAGTGCCTTCCTCACAGGAGGTAGGGCCTGTGAATGTATCCTTCACCTTTGCCAAGTGCACACCTAAGTACCTTTGTTGACCTGTTCTTATTATTTCATCTGACTCTATGGTGGTAAGCATCTTTATCACGACTCTCCAATGAGAGGAAGTGATCTGGAGTAAGTTCCAGCAGTTAGGAGAGAGGCCCCCAGTCATGCTCCACCTTGCTGCAGTGGAGATTATTTACCATCTCTGCTTTTAGACATGTCCTTTGTGATTTTACTGCACAGGTAATTAGAAGCCGTGCTTCTTGTGTAAAAACTCATTTTGTGCGCAGGTAAAAGCTAGTAAGGAATAGTGAGAAGAAAGCCAGGTCAGACCTTGTCTTAGGTCCATGCCCCAAACAATAGAGTGCTCTGCTGAGAGCACCATCCACTCGTGAGGACAAAGGAATTCACTTGTCTTGTGTTCATGGCAATGGGTTAATGGCCAGTGGATCTCTGGTGAATGTCTCTCTGGGCATTGGCCTTGGCTGGAGAAAGCTGCTTCCCTCTAGGGTGTGCTCTTCTGTCTGGGGAAAGCCCATACAAACTGATTAACTGGTAGAGGTCATAAAAATCTCTTCTCTTTCTTCTAACTTGGGACAATTGTGAAGGGTTGTCATATCTCTAGAGTTCTCCTCCCCCTTAGGACTAGTCTAGAAACACACTGGGCCAGCCCCTCCTGAGTAAGAGAGTTGTAGGATTCAATATCCACTTCAAATCAACTAATCCATGATGATGTGTCCCCAATATAATTGCTTCAATCCATGCAGATCAGGGCTGTGTGCATCTACTTTGGTCTCTAGGACATCCTCTTTAACCTCAAGCTATGGTCACACTCTATTTCTTGAGACTTTCAGGCCAAGAGATGCACAGGAAAGGAAGATGTCACCATGTGGGCAGGGTGATGGACTCTGACCACAGAGAGGGGTGGGTTTTGCTTTGCTAGTGAGCGTATTCGGCATGTAATGGTCTCTTGATGTCCCATCAGCCAGGATTGATAACAAGTAGATAAGAGCAGAGACTGGTCATTAGAAGAATATGAGGACCAGGAATTTCCCCCGCAAGAATGAGGGCTCTGAGTCAACCCCGCACGAAAGCAGTCTGGACCAGAAGAGGGTGGAAGAGGTTAACTGGAAGCGGTTAGCTGAGGGTGAAGGAGAGTTGAATGAAGGTTCAAGGAGGGAGTGACTTATGGTCTTCAAGCTAGCTGCAGCAGCTGGAGAAGGGCTCCTGTTCCACTCATTAGCGTGAGGCTTCATAGACTCTTGAACATTGTTCAGAACATAATATGTAAGTAAAGGGATTTGAGCAGTGCAAGGGGGCGGGGGCGGGGTAAGGTTGGGGATGGGATCTGTGTTGTGTTGCTCTGACAATTCCTCTCCCAGGATGACAATGCTCCCCTAACAGCTGCTAGAGGGTACCACTGGGTCTCAGCTGGGATTCTCCTAATAGACCTTCTATCAGCCTTAATCCCAGAGGAGCTGCACCCTGCACCCTCTCTGTGGTATCTGTTTGTGCTGTGGAGGTGGAAGGCAGAGCAGTCAGATCAAGGAAGGAGAGAATGTGTCACAGGAAAGATTGGGGACAAGAATGATGGCGAAGAAGGCATGGTGAGAGGCTCTTTCAGAGGAATTGGCTCTAGGACTTGGGGTCTGGGATTGCCCACAGGAGCAAGAATCTCAGGGTTGTAAAGGGTTTTCTGGTGCTGCCTATTCAGGTCAAATCTCCACAAAGACCCATCACCAAGTCCAAGAGTCCTTTGTGAGGGACACTGCTCTAATCCCAACTTGTCACCCTATTGTCATCTTTCCCCCACCCCTGGAAAAACATGACCCCGAGATGACAATACAACATGTGTAGATTTTTCTGTGTTTCATTTATTTACATTTTTAAATATCCATTTAAAAAGCACAAGTCTCATCTTGCATGAAAATGAGCAATGCCAGCATAAAACCACAAAACATTTTTTTATATTCTTCAGGACCCTTAGCCTGAGCAGAAGGAGGGAGGGTAGGCTCATCTTTAACACTTGGCAGGAACTGAATCAAGACTTCCAGAAAGCAAGTAATCTGCTCAGTGCTTTCTGACTAAGGGTGCCTGATATTCATAGAAAATACGTTAAGAAAACTCCATAACTGAAGCGTAATATGCTTTGAAAGATTACCCATCCAACCCTATTCCTTTGAGAATGCTGAAATTATCTCAGCCTTTCTCATGTTCTCGGTCAATCTCCAAAGAAGGTGGTTATTTTTGGCTGTGGAGTTCATAGTTTTTGATCTAAGATCTTCATGGAGGTCTGGACCCATTTCTGCTTGGGGTCAGTACAGATCAGCTTGCCCCGTTTGGTCTGGAAGCTGTATTGGGGAGAGAGAAAAAGCAGTCAGAAGACTTCTCTTGGGAAAAATATTCCCATCCAACCCTGTATAGTCAGCTCATTTGCCATAGAGGTAGTGGGGTGCAGTGGGAGAGAAAAGTAGGAACAGAGAAAGGATGGGACTGTGGGAGTAGGCCCAGTAAACACATCTGTTCTCTTTACTGAAAGGAGCCAATGTGGCCTGAACAAGCTCCCAAGCAATGTTGGCTGGGGGCAGACATTTCATCTGTGGAAATTCATGGATTGCATTATAGATGTCAAACTAAGTCGGGACCTCTGGCTTAGTTCTTGATGAAAACACAGGTTTTCGATTAGTGGGAGATGGAGCTTGTCTACTCACATTACGGCTTTCTGGGGACATTTGCTGTTGGTGATTCTTCTGTAACTCTCCAGTTGCTGAATGGGGAGCCTCTTCGTGGAAACAGTGAAGCAGCAGGTGGTCGGGATGGTGGCTGAATTAGGAAGAGAAAAAAAAAAACCATGCTCATCATCATGTCACATGCAAACACCATGCAGGGAAACGAGTTGATCAGGTGAATGACAGAGACGGGGGGCGGGGGAGAGTGAGGGAGAAAGAAAGAGAGGTGGGGTGGGAGAGAGGGAGAGAGGGAGAGAGACAGCCTGCCCAGGTTTCGATCTGGCTATTCCACAGGGTAGATTTGGGGCTGGGTGTCCTTGCCCACTGTGATGCCTGAGTGCCAATCAAGGAATTGTAGCATTTGCGCTGAGTCTTGGAAGACGTTTGCTGGTTCCGGAGGTGGGATGCTTTTCCATAGAGAAGAAAGGGGCTTACCTGGCTCAGCAAGCACCTGGGAGCTGAGGACCATGAGCAGCAAGCACAGGAGTGTTGCACAGACCTTCATGGCAGAGGATGAGAGAGGGAGTATCCTTAGGAGAGCTGGAGGTTCCCGAGCCGGTCTCTGAGTCTCTACTGTCTGCTGGGTCTTCTCCCAGGGTATTTATAGGGAGCAGAAGGGGTGGGAGCTTCTAGAGAAATCTTTGCCCACACAGGGTAATAGGTCCTGACCTTCTTATTATGCCCCAAGCTCCTAGGAAAAAGGAAGGATGGAGAGACGTAAATTTGGGGGCAGGACTTGGCACCTGTCTCCTCTATCCTGGCCGGGGGTGGAGAAAGGAGTGTGGGATTATGAAATGTAATCAAACATTTGCTGCTAGCCAGAGAAGCAGGAACAGGGAGGACATGGGGGATGTCTATGTATTGAAGAACTTACTTGGAAGCTGGGTGCTGGTGGTTCCTACCTGTAATCCTAGCTACTCAGGAGGCTAAAATCTCCAGGTTCGAAACCAGACCAGGCAGGTAAATTTATGAGACAATTATCTCTAATTAACCGCCCTCCCCCCCCCAAGAAAAACCTGGGAAGTGGAGCTGCTGTGGTTCAAGTGATAGAGAGCTAGCCTTGAGCACAAAAGCTCAGGGACAACATTCAGGCCACAGTTCAAGCTCAAGGACTAGCAACAATAAAACATAATAAAATGGAACTTATCTTGCTTTCTGTGTTCACCTGGTGGTCTTCAAAAGTGTGCTCTCAGGTCAAAGAGGGCTTGGCATCTCTGAACTTTGCAGTCTGTGTTATTTCAGAAGGATAGCACACAAGAGAGAGAGAGAGAGACAGACAGACAGACAGACAGACAGACAGACATATGGAAAGACAGAGAGACAGAGACAGACAGAGAAACAGAGAGAGTACCTTTCTCCTCAGATCTAATCTAGCTGTCTTAGAATCTTAGTGCTTGGAATCTAGTATCCTAAGACATCAAAACAATATATAATTCTCACTGATCCTGACTTTGATGTACTTAAATGCTAAAGCCATATTGCAAATGAATCAACACAAACTCCTATACTAACCACAGCCAGGGGGTTCTCTAATGGAATAGAGGCAACCTCCTTCCCTGTGTCTTCACATTCCAAGGATTAGGAAAACGTTCGGAAAGTCATCCTTCTAGTTTATACTCACCCACAGAGCTCTTATTGCAGATAAGGTATCTGATGGCTTGAAAAAAAAAAGGTCAAGGGCTGGGAATGTGGCTTTGTGGTAGCGTGCTTGCCCACATGCATGAAGCCCTGGGTTTGATTCCTCAGTACCATATACACAGAAAAGGCCAGGAGCTATGCTGTGGCTTAAGTGGTAGAGTGATAGCTTGAGAATAAAGAAACTCAAGGACAGTGCCCAGACCAGGCCCTGAGTTCAAGCTCTAGGACTGACAAAATAAAGTCAAGCCAGGTGCTGGTGGCTCACACACCTGTAATCCTAGCTACTCAGGAGGCTGAGATCTGAGGGTCATAGTGCAAAGCCAGTCGGGACAGAAAAGTCTCCAAGAGACTCTTATCTCCAATTAACTACTCAAAAACCAGAAGTAGCACTATAGCTCAAAGTGGTAGAGCACTAGCCTTGAGTAAAAAAGCTCAGGGACAGTGCCCAGGCCCTGAGTTCAAGCCCTACTACTGACATAAAAAAGTCAGAAAGACAAGGTATATAATATGCCTCACTGTATGTAGCAGTATGCTCCCAAGTAGAGGAGGGTGCCAGACAGGCAAAGTCTTTAATGAGATTGCTGTGGTAAATTATAGCCTTGATTACCAATGAGGAGGGATGGCATGGCTGATTCTTGTCTTTTCCCATACATTATCATATCACCCTGACCGATTATTAAAGGTGACACAGGCAGGTATGGTAAGAAAAACTCCGAGGCCAGGTACTGGTGGGTGGATCATTCCAATAATCCTAGCTACTCAGGAAGCTGAGATCTGAGGACTGTGGTTCAAAGCCAACCTGGGCAGAGAAGTCTACGTGACTCTGATCTCCAATTAACCAGAAGTAGAGGTGTATCCCAAGTGGTAGAGTGTCAGCCTTGAGCAAAAGTGCTAAGGGATAGTGCCCAGGCTCTTCATTCAAGCTCCAGTGCTGGCAAAGAAGGAGGAAGAGGAGAAAGAGGAAGAGAAGGAGGAGTAGGAAGAGGAGCAAGATGACTTGGATTCATAGCAAACAGTACTAGAGTTGACTGGTGATGCCTGTCAGTATTCAGCTGTCTCATTATTGGCCAGCAAGAACTTTAGGCATTCATCTGGAATACCTGGCCTGAAATCACTAGAAAAAGGGCCAAGGCCAGAACACCTGACTCCATTTCAGGTGAGAGAGTCTTGAAGGGATGGGAGGAGACTGGGTCTGGGGTATCTGAATTTGGATAATGACTCTGATGAGCTTGATGCCAAGGAAGACTTGCCTGGCTACAGTGTGCTGTGCCGGCTCACAGTGTGTGACCGGCTCTGTCGGGAAGACGGAGGACACCTAAGGGAGGAACTGGAATAGGTGGGGAGATGGCAAACAGACAACTTACACACAAGAGGAGTGGATGCTGAGTGCTGAGTGCGATTTAATGCAGAGGATAACAAAAATCTCCATAAGAAAGGGCAAAAGGTTATACAATCTTGCTGCAGGGCTTCATTCTTGGATGGTCACCAGCTGGTCGCCTGATAGGCACTTGTTTCCGGCTTATCTCTAAGAAATACAATGGGTTTCGATGTTTGTCACCACTTAACCATTACCTATTTTTATAGAGGCCTTAACTGTCCCATAAGATCTTTCCTGTTCCTTCTTTAATAGTAAGCACCAAGGAGGCCTAGATCTAGCAAGTCTCTTAGTAAATAAAAGAGAGTAACAAGAAGTTCTTTCTCTTAAGTAGTTTTCCCAGCAATTGCCATATATTCTTTCTGTTCTAGCCGACCCTACAGCGTCTTGTAAATCCCTTACAAACAATTCCTTCTGCTGAAGTGACTTCATGAAACCCCCCAATACTTTTATATTTGCTTATGACTTGTCTACTAGCCTCCATAAAAGGGGCTTTCGGGTAGCACTTAATTCTGATGAGTTAGTCATATTTTTAAGACACTCATCAGATGTTGGAGTCGTCAACACTCTTAAGAAAGAGCTTTGAATAAGGGAACGTTGAGCATGAGTGAGCACAATGAGCAGCAGAAATAGTAAAAGATTAATAGGCACTCTTATACAGTGGAGAAAAGAAAAGCAGAAACATATCTTTCCCAGGGGTTTGCCAGCCTTTCCAGGAGTAGGCCTCTTTGAAGCCCTATTCTCCGAGGTAGACTTCGGTGAAGTCCCAATACTCAGAGATAGGTCTCTGTGAAGCCCCATTCTCAGGTCTGAAAGCAGGTTTCCCATGCTAAGCAGACTCCACTGGAGTAGGCGTGGCAGGGCTGAGCTCAGTTTAGATGGGGAGGTAGCCACAATGATCACACTTACCGTGGGGATTGCTGTGCAAATCAAGTGAGTTTGTTGGTGCGTCTGTGAGTACACGTCTGTTATATAACTGTAAACATGCAGGTGGTAATTGGATGGCGTCACATTTATTATTAGGAAGTGGGACGGATTTTATAAACTAGGGAATGAATGCTTAAATGAGACTGTGGATCTAGGCAGATGGCTTCTTCCATATAATCCCCTAAATCTTTTTCCCTTGCTTCCAAGTAAAGATGTGCTACCCTAGGGATGGCTTCCAGGAATGCCTGAGACTCACAGGGGAGAGATACAAGGTCTCAGAAATGGTGTCAGCACCACAAGTCTAGAACATTCTTGATCTCAGAGATGCTGGCCTGACGCCCTTAGCAGATTACATGCTTAAGAGCATTCTTAGTTCAGTTGAGAGTTTAAAAGCACCATGAACAAGTAACTTTCCTTTCTCCCTTAAAAATTTTTTTCTTGGGCTGGGAAGGTGGCTCAGTGGTAGAGCGCTTGCCTTGCATGCATGAGGCCCTGGGTTCGATTCCCCAGCACCACATAAGCAAAAAGAAAAAAAGCCGGAAGTGGCGCTGTGGCTCAAGTGGTAGAGCGCTAGCCTTGAGCTGAAGAGCTGAGGGACAGCGCCCAGGCCCAGAGTTCAGG